CACAGTTAAGGAGTGCTGTGTGCCTAAACTTACCACCAAATTAACAGCTTTATATGGTTAAATTCCCCTTTATTATGCCAATCCAGGATAGAAATTTAAGATTTAAGTGTTTGCCCAATTCATATCCTATGGAATGTTGTCAGTAAGGTGAAACTGTGCTTGAATTATAGCAGTACATGCACGTATTTCATACCAAGGTGATTTAACAGATTTGCAAAAGATGAAGGTCAGGGTAAAATATGCAACTTTTGGGAAGTGGAAGGAATATAAGCACAAAGGCTTAACCATCAGCTATATATTTTAGCTCAAATAAAAAGTAAAAATAGCCATTTAATTTTGTTTCATAACATTCATCCTACAGAGCAAACAACTACAACACTACCAAAGTTACAGTCAATTCAAAAATATTTAACAAAATTTTATAAAGTAGGTTAAGATTGCAATTATATGACTTCAATTAAAATTATAGCAAATTAAATAAAATATTACACTGGCAGAAAAGGAATGGCTCCATTACTTAAATATATATACATATATTCAGCCCTCATATATTAGCTGGGGACTTGGGAATCAAGAAATATAACTTAGTACAAAGACCACAGTGAACTGCATAAAAATCTGTCTTACGGCTTTCAAGTTACATTAGTCATAGGTATAATTCAGAGGAGAGTTACTATTTCCATTGTAAATAAGTTTTAAAGGGAAAAAATGTAAAATCAACTTCTTATGAGTTATATAAATGTAATATTGGCAGTACTGTGATATTTCTGCCTGAACAGTTTAAAAAAAAAAAAAAAGTTCCTGTAGTCTTCTGTGTTTTTATCCTTGGAAACAGAAATTTGGTTGTACCAGGAACTCATATCCACATCTATAGTAAAGTTAACTCATTAAACTTAAATTTCTCCATTTTGTTGGCAAAGAGAGGAGGAGGAAGAAGTATATGTATCACCACTCACCATAAATCTTTCTATTTCTCATATATGTGTGGATCAAAGGCCAGGAATGTAGGCAGACCATATAAAAAGTGGGATGACTGGGATTAGACTTTGTTAACAATAATCCTTCCTGCATCAAGCTGCATCATGCATCATGCATCTAGGCCTAGTGTATGGAGAAGGAAAATATGCTCCATTCATCCACTTGATTCCTAGTATTCCTTGCCTGTGGAAGGTTTCTATAGGAAACATTTTTCATACATAGAAGAAGCAGAATTGTCAGAATGTAGGCACAATCACAGCTTCTTGGTCCTGTATGGCATGCAGAACATGACTGAACAGGAACACATAAGATGCACATAAGGTAACAGCAAAAACAGGGAAATATTCATTTTGTGCCACAATCCATCAGTAGTCTTTGCAGAGTGGAAGTCCCTCCTGAGCTTCTTCAATATAGGCAAGATCTCTGATAACAGTAACTGGCAACTGCTCAGTTCAAGTCTGTGATTCAGGAAAATTCAACCCCAGGCAACAAACTTTATCTGCTGATGAACTAGGGAGATTGGGCAGTGGTGGTTGGACACCTGTGCACCTCCCGGTATGGGAGAGCACAAAGAGCTGACACCGTGAAGAAGCAAGAGCCAAACACGGCCATGGAAAAGTAGAAAATACATCTCTGAACAAGGAAAGTGGGCGTCTGAGCAAAGGTTGCTGAAAGAAACCTGGAATTTGAACAAAGGACCTTCCGACTAGCTGATTTCTCCTGTGGTAGGGAAGATAGGTCTCTGAAAATGAAATACAGTCACGTCAAGTAGCAGATCCCATCTGTTTCCCTCCCAAATGAAAGAAAAACAAAACTAAACTAAACTAAAAAAACCCTTGACATTTGGCTCCAGCTGCTTTAATTAAAAAGAGATGCAATACCCATCGTGACTGAGGATTTTCAGAAGTAAGAGGTAAAAATTCATCAATCAAAATGTACTGCATTTCTAACTCTCTACTGAGCTCTCTACTGCAGTTAGAAGGTACAAAATGTTACTCCTGGAAAGAGGACAGTGCCGTACGTTCACCTTCTAAAGACTTTTCACTGCCGTCCTCATCCGTCAGGTCTCTCAAGCTCACTTTAAAGATTAAATTTGCACCTCTCCAGGAGCTTGAAAACAAGGTTGTTCTGCCAGAAGGATTTGCTGACCACCAACACTGTACTCCTCCGTGCAAAAGCATGGGAGAATTTCTGTGGCTTCCAATGAGAAAAGTCTGCTTGGGCCAAGAGATATAGGAATGCAGCTGGATTAGCAGCAAAGAGCTAAAGCTCTGCAAGCGCTGGCTAAAGCTCAGAAACCATCAGTTACAAACTACCTGCTCCTTGCTCAACGTGTGTCTGTCCTAAGCAAGTATTAGTCCTGAGCAAGCCCACCATGACAGTAACAAGGTAGAAGTGGTGGGGAGCAGCACAAATACCTCCTTTATAGAAACAGGCAATCAACATTGAGAGCTGGATGGGGTCCCACAGACTGTCAGTCCTACCTGTGGAGCCAACTAAAAGGAAAATATGGCATCAAAGTGTATTTAGGCAATTTCATGGGGATTATTTTTATGAACAGTTGTTTAATCTTTCATCTCAGCTGGAAAGACAGGACTTTTTGTAAGCTTGTGTGACACAAGTACAGGAGAACCTATGTTTTAAACGACACACAAAAGCAACCACTGTAACATCAAAGTGCTGGAACAAATAGCACTGGCTATCTCCAAAGAAATATTTTTGCATAAGAATACATGTAAATTTGAAGGATTATAAATTCAATCTGAAAACAGCTTGGGTTTGAGGTTTCTAGACTGTAGTTAGTCATGCAGCTGTTCTGCAAAACTAGTAAAGCCTGATTTCCTTGAGACCTGTATCTCTGCAGTTCCCCAGTACACTCAGACCACATCACAGCTCACGCAACACTCCAGGAATTCCCTCTGCATAAAGACATGAACCACTCCACAGCTCTTCTTCCTCTCTGTTCCTTTCCAAAAACTCCCCCCGAGAGCACACCCGTCTGTCCTCAGTCACTCATTTACAAAGAACACATTAGGACTTTATATGCTAAACATTTTTAAGCCTATATAAAGTTTAGCTGAAATTGTTCAAACAGTTAAAAATTGTGGAGGGCTGGGGAAGGTGGCTGCTGACAAAGCAAGCTGCAGGCAAATTGCACAAGCTTCCTGCCTCACAAACCCTGGCTAAAATTTTGAAGTCATTTCTTAAGCATCAGAAACGGGTCAAGTCCTCAGCTAACCGTGACAAGTGTGATTCCACTGAAGGAACTGGAGTTCACCAGTTCAGACCAGCTAAGGAACTGTATCAGTGCCTCCAAAAATGTCTTTATTACAAGAACAAAGAGCAGCAACTAGCTGAAACTTTCATCTTTCTTCTCAAAAACAATGTTTGTAGCAGCGCTTCAGATTCTTTATTTCTTAAGTAAAATAACCACGAAGAAGCTTGCTAAAGAAGTAGCCAATCAGCAGCATATAAAAAATCCAGGAATACTGAGGGGGAAAGGCACGTTTTTTCTTTCCTTTGTGCTTCATTAAACTTTAGAGCCAACCAAGACACAACTGGATAACATTAGACAGTTGTAGTCATGGTTATTAGTTAGTTGTAGTCATCTATGAGTTGGTGGTTTCTTTTCAAGTCTAGCTACTAGCAAAGCAAATACAGTGCACTAAATATGGGCGCACTATGTAAAATACTTCTGCTCTCTCATAGAGAATATATGTGTAAACGCTGCTAGTACCAATGTGCACAAACCAATGTTGATAGTCAATAGGATACCATGCAACACAGCTATCCACAGATTAAATCTGATGACACAAAAGTTTTCTTCTAGTCTTTTATTCCTGTAGTGCATTGGTATAAGAGAGGCATAACATAACAACTAGCAGAGGGCATCAGCAAAGGCTCAGACATTTCCCAGCTGAGAAAATACCATTTCATGACAGGTTCTACAGCAAACACACAGATACTACCAGAGGAAATCAAATATTTGAACAAGCAGAGAGTGATGCATTTCATTCACGCGTGAAAGGGAAGCCAGTGAATAAGAATCACATGCAATGCCACCAGAAATGCCAGTGCCTTAAGAAGTGCAAAGCTGTTTATTTTAAATGGAATAAAATCAACAAAAGAGATTTATTTTTCCTGGAGGTGGAGGGAACACAGACATTTTTCCAAGAACCATGCAACAGAGGAAAGATCAGAAAACATGGAAAGAAAGAATAGGCATGGATTCTTTTGTACAATAATCATTTGTAATGTACTGTTAAAAGAATAAAAGTTAAAACTGAGGTACTTTTTCAGCCTCAGAATGATTGGACTATTAGTCTTTGACTGAAAATATTAAAGATAAGGGGTTCAATAATGCAGAATAAAGGATTTTGTCATAGGAATATCTGGCATTGATCACTGTAGTGTCAGAGTGGCTAATCGCGTAAGGGAACTCATCTATAAACAGATCTCCAACAAATACTAAGAATTACTCAAGTGCACAAATGCTTCTGATTGGAAGCAGGGAGGGCTATTTTCTTTCTTAAACTCAGCCAGAACTAAAAGCTGCAGCTGGTGAATTTATTTTTCAATGCATACTTAGAGCATTCCCCTTGACCACAGGTTAGATTTCTGGAGGAAAAAGGTAAAAAGGAATGACAGGGAATTGGCAAAATTATTTCCATCTGATGAGAAGGGGAAAGGGCATCCATTGATAAAAACATGACAATCTAAGAAAGGGTGACATTCTTCCAGGTTACTTAGATATTGTATCTTACACCAAACTTCCATTCTATGGTGATGGTGACTGTGCAAGCTTAAAGCACTTTCTAGGTCACCAACTGATGTGTTCCTCTTGGAGCACAATGGGTTCCTATGAAGGAAGAAGGGGTTTAAGAGACGAACTTGTAAAATATTTATACTAAGTATGAATATTTGTGCTCAAAATAGTCAATAAAATAGAATACTCTGCTTAGACAACATACAAATGTCCCAGAAATACAAAGCATTAGAAGTATTTAAAATTAAATATTTACCCAGGTCCTTAACAAGAGATAATGCTTCCCATGATACGAATGCTCCACCACCATCGTCCATAGCTCCCTGCCCAACATCCCAGCTGTCCAGATGTCCACTGACCAATACAATCTGAAAAAGCAATTATGAGAAAATGTATCTATATGAAAACAGGGAATGAGACAAGTGAGTTCAGCATTGAGGCACTGGAATTATTTTTTTCATAAATTTGGCTTTTTAGCTTAAAACAGGAAGCAGGAAAAATTTAAGATAAAACTAGAACATTTTTCTCTAGTTAGTGAACAAAAATCTAAGACCACCAAGCCCAACCTGCTGATTCAAACCATTGTCTAAATCAACCTACATATACTGTAAGGAGTATTTAAATGAAAAGCTTAGCCTTGTATATTAACAAAGTGCATACTTTCCAGAAATACAGGTCTAATATATTGCAGAATGGTGAAAACTTCTTTCATATATCATCTGCAAGCTGTTTAAGCCCCTAGGCATTAAATCTGATTAACCCTGTTTTTGGATGCATAACTAAGAAATATGAACTTAGACTGAAGTGTTCCCAGACAGAGGTTGTTATTTTATTATGTATCTCTGGCCCTTACCACAGAGGACCTCTAATTTATTACTGGATCCCCTATGTGCTACAACAATGACAAGGTATTTTATAGTTCCATTAGTCATAAGGATATTTTAAATTAAAAGCTACACAGTAGCAAGTCCCAGGTGGTTTTTCTGCAAAGAACGTTTTGTGGCTACAGTAGAGTATAACAGCCTATGTGTCTTCAGAAACATATTCACTTTCAGACTCGAGCCCTGCCAAAGAAACAAGAACTATCAGACCAGGAGAGAAGTGGAGGCAGTTCCTTAACTGGAGTCAAGCTGAAGAGTTGATGATCTGTTATTGCAACAGAGAGCTCAAAGACAAGAACTCTAACAGGGTATTAGGCATCAGCAAACGGAGTAACCAGACAAAAACAAGAGCAGGGAACTGCCAACGTGCCCAGGAGCCTTAGAAAAACAACCAAGGGAGCCCTTGGGATAGGGTGGAAGTGGTACCAAAATATCCGACCCGTGACAACTCAGCATGGGCTGCTTCCAAACGGGGTGGCTGCAGGGAGGGCTCAGGCTGAACCCTCCTCCTGCCACCTACTTCTCCCTAAAGAATGAAGGGATGCGGATCCCCTCAAATTTTAATCTCAGCTTATATTCACCATAGGATAATTTTTGTAGTGTTGATAATAGTTTTTCCTCTTATCACCCCTACGTTGCAGCTAACGCTGTACATTGTAAGGAACCATCTTGGGGCCTAAGGACGGAGACCTCAGTTTTCTGCCTCATATAAGCAAAGTCTCAGTACATTTTTCCCTGAATACTAAAAACAAGTTACAAATAAATCATGGAAATGGAGTGCAGCAAGATACAAAACATGACATGTTCAAACAACTGTTACTTCATTTGACCAAATACGAGCTTAGTTAACACAAGTAAATACAACCATTTGTTTTAAACGAAGGTCATGAAAAAACATTAGTCATATCTATTATATTGCCATGTGTCTAATCAGAACACATGAAAACCCCTTAAATTAGGAAATACAAGATGAAATGTTTGCTAAAGTATGTATTACAGAAAGCAGAAGTGCCATGCTTTAGAAGCTGGAAAAACTTATTAAAATCTGAAAAGCTGCTTATTCCTTCCTTCTCAGATGTTTCAATGCTCTTTTGTACTTATCCAACCTTAATTAAACATGTGTTTGATTTCCAGAAAAAAGACATTTTCTTGGTAGTAGACAGACATGCTGCAGCCTTTATTCCTAGACCTCTGCTCCATCATTTAGCCTTAATTTGGAGAGCAGAGCCTTTTGTAAAAGCCTCAGATTTCCTCAAGAGGTATTTTTGCAATTTAAGGTCATGCTTCTTCCAGGCCCAGAAGTGAAGGATGCACACAGCATGTTTTCCAAGGACAGTTCACTGCAGTAGAAGCACTTAATCTGTACAGGAGGCAGGCCCCTGTTTCAACAGCAACATAGCTTGAAACCAGATAATCTAAGAAAAGCCAGATCAGCTTTTGAGGTAGAAGAAGCCTTTTTGAAATGAGGGGGGAAAAAAAGAAATGCCCACTGCATTAGTCACTGTCCTTTCTGTGTCCTTTTAAGGAGGACTGAGCACACACACACCCACACACAGAATGTGGGCAATGCTGCAGTAAAGTCTGCTTTGAAAGCTTGAGACACCCGTGCAGCCCCAGTGTGAGTGCAGAGGGCAGCTCTCACCAAACACCACCTTTGCAGCTGACCAATACAGACTTATTACGGCCTCCTGAGGAAGGAATTTATAAATTAAAATCAAAGAATGACAGAAAAGGCTCTGAGAGAAAGCATAGCTGTGTGCTGTAATGGCAGGAAATTTTGTTTCCAGCCACAAAGCATCTTTACCAACTCCAGAACATTACACCCAGACAGATTAAGGTCCAAGTGGATTGAGAAAGTCAGCGTAACTTTATAGATGAACTTTTGCTTAAATTCATTTAAACTGTGCCAAAAGCAACGACATAAACACAACCACTGTCCTTCCATGTGCAAGTCTGAGCAGAAGAGTTATTGTTTTTTCCAAAGGCCATGCCCGCGTAGCTGCCTTTGCAATGAATGCTTCAGTGAGCTTGCTGCTAACCAGCCACAGACATTGTTCCAGTAAGACACAATCACAACATAACAAAAACACTGTGTTTGTTCTGGCCTTTAAGTAGCTATAATGTATCCGGGGAAAATGAGTGCAAATATTTCTGATATTCATCCTAAGCCATTCTATTATTTAGAATAGTATTTTAGCACTCTGTCCACGTGGGCTCTCAGATGAAGGCAGTTACTGCTATCAAGGATCTACGACTGTACTTTCCAGTTGTGTTGTTCTCAGCTCTAAGCCCCTACACAGGCTGATGACTTCTGCTTGCACAAAACAGAGAAATCATGTCAGTATGGGTCAACAGTATGGAAGCACCACAAAGCAATTTTTGAATATATTGAGAAATCACAAGTATCTGAGCATGACAGTACAAACGCAGAATTCACATTTGTCAAATCGACCAAAAATAAATGTAGAATTTGAGACCTTCCATGCAACATGGCAATTTAAGGTTGGGCTTTCCTGCTGTGACACACCTAAGAAAATGCCGTAAGAGATATAGCCCTGATAAAGTACAACAGGAGAAGTGAAATTTCAGGAAACATTTCAAAGAGAAAATAAGTTACAACATTTCATTTTGTACCAACATTATGACCACTACTGGATGTCTGTAAATCGTGTCCAGCATTTCAATCAGACTATATTTTAAAAACAAGAAAATTAGAAAAAGGAACTGCCATTGACTTCTGCATAAATCACAGTTATCCTTTTCTAAGGATGATGCTTATTGCCACCACAAAACAACCTCCCATTCCATATGCATTCACACATGCCCATTCAATTTGTCATGCATTAACTTCAAATAAATTTAGATGAACTACCATCTGTTTGCTAAGAGGGAATTTGAAGAAAAACCTGCTCCAGTTTTAGTCAGACTCTGTACTCTCACTTGCTTGTAGAGGTACCAGTCAAGGGCTTCTCTCCAGGCAACATTAGAGATCATAAATAATAAATGTTAGGAAACAAGTGTAAATAACAGTTCCAGTCACAAAATCTGGTCTTGAATAATATTTGTATCAAGTTCAAAACCAACATGCAGTGGCATTTCACATCACTGAGGTACACAGCAATAAAATGAAGCAATGAAGCCATGTTCTTGCGGATGAAGACTGAGGCTAGGATCCACAAAGTAGGATGGGACACAAGATAGGCCCTTTATTGATGGAATGTGCCCATTAACACACTCATTTAGGAATGCTGAGTAAGAACTTTCATTGTCTGATCCACTGAAAGGCTTTTCTCTTGCATCTTCTCTCAAGTAGACACAGAAGATAAGGAGCACACGTCTTAACTTGCATTCTCATACACAACGAGAGTGAGATGACAAAGAACTGACAAAGACATCAGAACCAACTCAGGTATCTGCAGATAAGGTGCACCCAACGCCCAAGTTTCTGCACACTTGAACTTTCGGCTAAAACAATGAAGCACTCCAGACTGCAGCTCAAATTATCCCAACTGCTCAATCTGCTTGATCAGCCAAATGCCACCATCAGTTGTTCTGTTCTGATCGGGGATCAGAAACTTCTACCTATGAACACTGCATAAAATTGTTCTATACTTGAATCAAGGAGGAAGACAGAGTCAGGTAATAATTACAATCTTTGATTCAATCTAATCTAAAAATTGCTTATAAACTCTCTCCTTCCCCAGTCACTCCTCTTCTTACATACACACAGTCTTACTTCAAAATTTTTGGATTTTCCCCAATCCCAGACAAAATTTCTGACCCCACATCATGACTTAAACACAATCAGTACATATTTCTTATAGGACTCCACAAAAAAAAATAGACTTGTGCTTTTAAACCTCGGGAACACACTTTGAGCAACTTATCCATTTATGCACTGTTACAACTATGAACTGTTAGATAGCAGCAATTTATAAAAATAAAAAGATTGTCCCTATTTTACTGTATAATAGCATAAGAACAAGGAACCTGACCCTGAACTTTTCCCCTTAAACTCACAGCCCAAAACAAAAGGGAAATTAAAGAGTTGTCTACCCTCCCTACTCAAGCCCTGGCAGAACCACATTTGTTTATACAACCCAACATTCCTCAGATTTTTTATTTGTATCATGCAGTAACATTCTGTAAATCAGCCTGTTGCCTATCCCATCAAAGGCCTCCTTAACCCTAAACAAATTATATCTTTTTATCTTTCTACAGTTTGATGATGTGCTTAAAAGGCTGCAGAAAATTTGGCAGGTGTGATCCTTTCTTCATGAATCCAGTTTAACTCTTCAGCAATGGAACTACTGTCACTAGTAGGAAACTTTATTAGCACTGCATAATAACTGTGTCCATTTAACTAAACAATTTTAATATCTGCATTTACAGGGACATCACATTTTGTATCGATACTGCCATTATTTCAAGATAGGCATTTCAAAATTTAAGGAAGACTAAAGTTAAAATTCACAGGAATATGAATT